GATGCGGCCCCGCTGCACGGCTGCGGGGGGGGAAGAGAGCTCATTGCTGCATCCCCCTGCATACCGATACATCCCCCTGTATCCCCCAGCCCATGCCTGGGAGGGGAAGGAGAGGGGGTGTCTGTCCATTGCTGCATCCCACCACATCCCACTGGATGCCCCAGCCCACTCTCAGGGGGTCCCTCTGCCCCATACAGGGCAATGGAGGATGGGGATGCTCCCACTGCCCCCCAGCAAGGACAGATACTGCATCTCAAGAAGCCATGGGCTTTAGCATCCCAGGGATTTACCATGCTGCAGCTCAGCCATGGCCACTGCCAGGATGGCGTCGGTGCCACCTCTCCATGCCTGTGCTGGAGCAGGGCGCTCCCTACCCAAGGTCATTGCATGGCAACAACTGCTTATTTGCAAATAAAACGTCCATCTTGGAAGCGTCCTTAACCCTGAGGCGCTCCCTCTCCTAATTGCATTCGGGGAGAGCCATTTTTCAGCATCCCCCCCTCTCCCATTAGCGCCCACTATTTGCTCAGGCCCCAGTAATTAATTTATGGGCTGTTCGTGAGCCACTTAAATGAGAGCTCTAAATCATGCTAAGTGGCAATAACGCCATCGCAGCTCCTCTGGAAAGCAGGGAATTACTGTCCTGCTTCCAGCATCCCTGCTCCTCACATTAAAGCCACCTGCCACCACCGCAGCATGGCCCCGGCATCTCTGTCCCCATGCCGGGATTGGAGATTTGGGGGTGAAACCCTGCATCTCATTGGCAGAAATGTGGAGGTTTTGAGAAATTTTGAGGGGCTGAGCTCCACCGCGACAGGGGCACCACGGCCGTGCTGCCTCCTGGCTGTCACTGTATCAGGACTCTGTTTGTCCAAACAAACCCTGGCACCAAGGGCGAGTCAAGGAGGGACAAAAACCCAGGGCAAATGGAGGGGTTTTGATGCAAACGGGAGTCCCAAATCGGCGGGGGGGGGTCACCAGGACTCCCAGAAAGCATGGCTGAGGCACAGACGTTACCTTCCTTCCTCATGCCGACACGGAAGCACTTCTTGAGGCGGCAATATTGGCATTGGTTGCGGTGGTGCTGGTCAATCTGGCAGTCGCGGTTGGACCTGTGGGCAGACGAGGGGCTGATGTGGGGTTGCTGGGGGTCCCTGCGCCCCCCCGAGCTGCTCCGACACTCCCATCCCCACCATCCTTCATCTCTCAGTGTGGTACCCTCTTGGCGGCCCCGGCACTGGCCGTGCAAACCCCCATTTCCTACATTTGGTGATGCCCAGGGCTGTGGGAAAGGGGAGACCCCTGGGGGTCCCGTCCTTGGGGACACGTAGGGATGGGTCCCTGCACACGGCGGGGGGGAAGCGGTGGAGCAGCCCCTACCTCTCCACCAGATGCATGGAATTTCGAGGAATTTCAACTATTTCCTATGGCCCTGCAGTGCTGAAACCCCTCCAACCCCCATGGCGGGGATGTGGCCCCTGCATCCTCACCATCAACCGGATCCAAAGCCAAACCCATCAGCTCCAGAGCAGCAGCGTATGTGGCCCCCTCCCCAAACCCTGGAGCCTGAAAGGTGGTTGTGCCCACCCCCTGACGCTGGGGTCCTGCCATGGGCAAAGAGCCACTGGGCAGCCCCTGCGAACCTCCCAGTCCCAAACCCAAGGGGCTGTCTCCCATGGCCAAGGGATGCAGCGGGGCATGGGTGCCACCGGGCACTCACATC